ACATATCATCTGGAATGAGCTATTTTACGTCAAGCTAGCGACGCAAAACAAGCGCTTCTTGGGAGGCAACCCAAGGTGAGTTTTTCTTTCAATTTTTTTTCATTTTTTAGTTTTAGGGTGTGTCTAGAGGCTCTCCGCCAAAATTCAGCTCAAAAAGCCTTGAGGAAGGTATTATTTGGTGTTTTGTAGGTACACGGGCAGGCTGTTTTTTGCACAGGGAGGCTGCAAAATGAGCACAGGCAAACCGCAAATGTGGGGGGAGGACTAATCTGAAAGTTTTTTTGGGGGGGGGGGGGGGGGGGGAGGACTGATCTGGCATTTTTTATAGGAGGAAGGGGGGACTGAAAAGGTTATTGTGCGTTAAAAAACAAAAGAGAGCTGGACAGCGCTGCGTTTCAGATTAAAAAAAAAATATCAAACGTGCAGCGTTTCATTAAAACGAAAAAAAAAAACCGGAAACCAAAAGGGGTCGGGTTCCCCTTCCCCTTCCCCTTCGTCTTCCTTCCCCGACTTCTCCTTCCTCCCCTCTTCCCGTCGAGAGACACAGCAGCAGCAGCAGAGAGCTCCGGCGCCGTCCCCCGTCGTGCCACCACCCCGCCGACCCCCTGCCTTCCGCCGCCCCGCGTCGCCTTCGCGCGACCCAGCCACCGCACCACCATTCCCCAGCCCCTCACACCACCTCCGACGAGCAGCAGCAGGAAGAAGCCGCTCCTCCGCCGGCGAGCCATCTCGCCGCGTCTCTGACAATCGCAGCCGCCCTCCCAGCCCCTTACCGCCTCCAATCACCCTTCCCCCCAGGTCTGATATGAAATACCTAGCAATTGAAGATTCAAGAACAGAAAGAAAAAAAATTAGGGTTCTTCAGATTGGGGGTTTTGCTCAATTTCGAATTTGAAGTGAAATTGGAGTGTGTTGATTGCTTGATTGAGCCAATTGAAGTGCAATTACTGTCTACAAGAATATTTGCAGAAGATTTATGGGTGATTCTTGAGAATTGGTTGATTTGAGGGTTGAAGAATTTGGGGAACTTCCTGATTGTGGTAGCAGTAAACTGGAATTTGGGCCACAGAGTACAGATTTGTGCAAACTTGGTGATTCAAGAGCGGAGGGGAGGTTTAAGAAGTTTGTTTTCCAGTTTGCACTCTTGGTTGCAGATATGGGACGTCAAAGATATATCCCTCCGGCGTCTAGATGAGAAGCTCGGCACTTCTGCATCGACCCCTCCTTCATAGGAGCTTGTCCCGAGGTTCTTTTTCTTCTTTTCTTTGTGAATACTTCTGATGATGGTCTGTATAATGTTAGTTAGGTGAACCTATTGGTGTGTCGTGTGTAGTTGTAGACATTGTGGACAATGTCCATCCTGAGTGTGGGGTGGATGGTCTGTGTTCTTGTCGCGTTTTATGTCGAGTTGTAGTTGTCCACAGTGTCTCTTCTTGTGTAAAATATATAAAAAAAAATTGCCATTAGGTTGAACACAGCCAAACTGCATGCAGTTTGCCTGTGTAAAAAGCAGGCTACCTGTGTTAATCTAATGGCTAAAAAACACCTAAAAATTAGAAAAATAAAAAAACAAAACATTGTACTCTTGTGGTAACATGATGTAAATGACCATGATGCCTTGAAAATGAGTTTGTGCTTGAATGAAATCATCAAAATCACCCCACTAGTGTTGAATTGTATAGTTCTTCACAATGAGCTTGAATGTTTTGACTGACTTGATATGATTTGAATGAGCAACTCTTTTAGCAACATTCTTTTTTGTGAGGATAGTGTAATGACTTTTGGTGAAGTAGTTAGGTGGAGAACATTGACCATTTGACATGTTTGGATACCGTGCTTACTTGCATCAATTGTGAGCTTTTGATTTTGCAATAAGTCTCTCTGTTTTGATGGTTTTATGATGGGGTGAACTGTATCTTTATAAAAGAAAACACTACCTGACAAGTAAAATATAAGAAAGTTGCCATAACAATTAAAGTGTGGGTAAAAATGCCAAAATCGTGTGAGGCAATCACTCATTGCACATGGGGATTAGGAAAGATTCAATTGAGAATCGGTTCGCGACCGTACGATGTTGCTTATCAAGTACGATCCCCAGTTGAGTGAAGTGCCATTTGAGGATGCAATGACCCTCCACACGGACCGAGGAAAAGGAGTTGAAAGAAGCCCTTATGCGAGTGCTAAGAAGCAGAAATTGCTCTTGCTCGGTCACCGGTAGTAAGAAACAAATCCCACTTGTACTAAATACGACCTCTCGGCAAGCAAAAGCAGAAAGAGAGAAAGCCTCTCCTTGTCATAAAAGGTAGTGATGTGCTTAAAGTAAAATCATGTTTGCGAAAGGCTTTCCCCATTAGTTTTTGAGACTTATGCTTAATTAATTGCTTATGATTGGTGTGAGTAAGCCAGATTGTCCTCACGATATATGCACCTCACTGATGTGGTTAGATTCTCTTAATAACTGTTGCACCATAAGTTGTTAATCACCCGCTACTGACGACCTGAATTGAGTGTTGCTATTTGAGTTTTTGATGGATTTGAGTCAGTCAATGGTAATGGTTGCAAAGAACTTGAGTTTGGGGTGAAAGGTATGATCATTAAAGCACAACTTGTCTGTTGAGAAAGAAACTACTGATTACAACAAGAGTACAAGGAAATTTTGTGTTTTGCTTTGAGTGTTGAGTCTGTAATGTGTCATTGTTTTGGATGATTATGTGTTTGTGTTATTTGAGTCGTTGCTTAGGGACAAGCAACAATTGAGTGTGGGGTTGTGATAATCGGCTTTAACATATTGGATTCTTTGACCTTATGTGATTATCCGTGGTATGTTTTAGCCAATTGGTACTATTTTAGGGCTCGCTAACCCGAGAATGGTTGAAAAACCATTACTGCCTAGTGCCATGAGTTTGATGTATTACAGGTGAAGAAAACACGAAAAAGAAGTTGCACCGGCAAACAATTCTCGAAGCTGGGCTTAAAGCCCAGCTGGATGGGAACACATAATCATGGGCCTGGGGACCATTTTGTGGACGGAAGCAAATTCTTCTCTGGTATGGGTTTTTTTTGGGCGGAATTCTTTAAAGAAAAGGCACAAGGGGGAATTGAAGGGAGGCGCCTATTATTCTGCTGGGAGAAGGAATTAGAGGAAAGGAGGGATTTGGATAGAAGGAATTTTGGGAGAGGCGGAATATTATTTTTTCTTTGGCCAGGAGATTTTTGGGGAGCGGCGGGCAATTATTGAGGGACGGAAATAGCTGGCGGCTTGGAAGGGAATTCCTCGGGCAGAAGGGATTTGGAGGAGTCTCTTTTTGGTTGGGCAACGAAATTCTGGGGCAGAGAAAATTCTTGAAAAAAGAGAAAGAAGGACAGCGGCACACAGCGCAGCAGTGCAAGGCTTTGGACGAGCGCGCAGCAGAGAGCGATTGAGCAATCGGCGAGCAGTTTTTCCCAAGCGGCTAGAGCTGAGTTCAACGAGAGCGATTAGTTGGTTGGATTTTCTAAACCGAATTAGTTGTTTTTTGTTGATTTAGAACTTGATGATCAAAACCCTAATGTTTTATCTTAATTTCGTCATGAACTAAACCCCGATTTCTGGGGGAAACACCATAGGATGTAGCTATTTCTTGATTTGATGGATTGATTCGTATTTCTTTTCTTCCAATCTCTATTGCATGAAATTTCTTAATGCTTTGTGTTGACTGGCCACCAATACAATGAATTGTAGTTAATTAGGTTATTAGCGACAGTGAAACCCTAATAACTGAACCTATTTCATGTGACATAGTAACTTATCGAAGCGACAGTGGATTAAATAAGGTGCTATGCGGTCTTAAATAGGTTATCGATCTTCAGACTATATAGTTAATTCATTGAGCTACGACAGTAGGATTTTAATTGATTATTTAGTACGTAGTAATTCCCGACAGGGATAGCTAGCACATTCGTGATATCCTGGCTGTAGAGGTACGGATTAAATTGATTGGAATATGTGAATTAATCTGGATAGGATAGGTAGTGAATCCCGGTGTTTCTCCCAGAGCTTTCTCCCGACCATTTTACTTTGCTTAATTAGTTTAATTATTTTGCTAGTAGTTAATTAATCTCATTAAACCATTACCACCTATAGTTTACTCCATAGAATTGATAGATCATAAGGTTGTACCAGTCCCTGAGAGACGATACCCGGACTTTCCGGTTTACTACAAGATAGGATTAAGGCATACGCTTTTGCCCTATCATCGCCCCACCTACAGAGGCCATCCGAGCAGGGCTGAGGGCGCCGCCCAAAGGGTTTACCAGGTTGTCTCCTGCAGAGATCGAGCAGAAGAGGCGGGAGGGAAAGTGCTTTAACTGCGACGAGAGGACCTTTGGTCACAAATGCGGGAAGCCTGATTTAATGTTCTTGGTGGGGCGCTGGGAAGACGAGGCAGAGGATGAAGCCCCCGAGGACCCATGGCCGGTGCCGGAGTAGCTTCAACCTTGAGGACAAGGTTGCTTCCCAAGGAGGCGGGGATGTTAGAAACAAATTATTTGCAGCTTTTGGTTAATTCGCATTATTGTCGGTTTTGTTAATTGGGGGGATTATTTGGGGTATTCGGGCAATAAACATGGAGTCAATTGTTACGTTTTATTAGTTGGGTAGGAGGTCGGAATTATGCGGATTATATAATCTGCAGTAGGGTGTTATTTTTCATTAAGCAATAAAATATCAAAAACCTAAAATCTACTCTCTCTTCCTCTCTCTTCCTGCGTCCCCCTTTCCCTCTTCCCCTCCCAAATTCGGCAGCAGCAGCTGCTCTCCTTTCCCCTCTCTTTGTCTCAATTCTCCAATTCCAAATCCTTAACTAGGTCAATCCCTAACTGATCTAACTAATTCCCTAATCCCAAACCCGTTAGAAACTTTGTTTCTAACATCCTTTGTTTACCATACTAATTGATTTGAGGCGCAACTTAGTGGTGGATTTGGTTAGAACAAATTATTTGGTTGTGCTGAAATGAACATGCATTGTGGCAATGATTTATTCAGGAATATATGACTTCAATGATTTTGGAATGGTCAACTGTAATAGCTGATATTCCTTCAATCTCTCCCGTCTCCACTTTGAAACCATTTTGCCCCTGTTCAAGTTTGAAAGTGGCAATCTTGCAGGCTGTCATGGTTGAACGAAAAGCTTGTTAACACTTGTAGTTGCCCTAACCCCTCTCTTAATTCATAACAAAGAAAACATAAGTTTCCTGGGCATGCACATCACTCTCGAACTTGCAGTAGACATTGGGAACATATACAATGCACAAGTCAATCCAACAGAAAAGACAGCGCACAGAAATGCCTACAAATTCCTTGAAGGAGAATGAGCTGCCTGTGCGACCACAACGTACTCAATGCCCACCATAAGTAGACTCTATATTGATCGACTATTTATGAAGAAAAAGAAAAAAAAAAACCCGGCTCTACTGAAACCAGGGTGACTATATTATGATTTGTGCTTTGCTGGAGGCTCGCTGAAATCCATTCAAATCTCTCAGAGTCTGAACCTGGTCAGTAGGTAGCGAATTAGGAGAAAACTTGATCTCCATCTTGTGAAGCTCAGGTGAAGCAGCTAATAACCATTGAATGAAACACATCTCAGTCCTTACACCCTGCAACTGATTGATCTCCACTTTCACCAGCTTACTTGCTCTGTGTTTCGTCATTCCACACACCCTCTGTACGGCAGATATCAGGTTGAGAGCTATGTACTGGGTTGCCATTGGCTTGGTCTGGAATTCCAAGCAAAGAATAACAGTAAGAAGCGAAGTTGCTTTCTTTTTAATCTATAACATAAGGTAGACACGGAGCAAGCTTACAATCAAATAAAATCCACTAGCCAAAAGTTACATCCTCAATGACAAGGAAAAAAGGCCGAAACCACCCAATAATTGTAAACTTATCTAGTTCAGCAAAATTCAGCATGTTTTTCTTTCCGTGGACTTCAGTATTTAGTGCACACACCACATAGAGAGAGAGGGGGGCTGAGAATCTCACAGTGATGATGAGGTCTTGCAAGTTTGGGGCAACTATGATTAAGAGCATACTACGCCAGACATCTCTCGGACAGCTGAGACACAATTCACCCAACCTTAGTTCCCTTAGCATCATTAACCTAAATACTTGACCAGGTTGAATAATCAGTTCTTTAGTTCCCAAGTCCTGCAATTCCCAAATGAGATTATGTAAGAAAGAGCTCTGGCTACTCAAAACTTCCAAGATGAGTAATTGGAAAAAGACAGTAGTAGTATATTTACCCTGAAGAGCTCAAGTGCTACACATAGTCGCTCTATTGCTGGACAACCACCACATAATTTCTTGAAATTAGTGGGTTCATCTTTGCTCTTAGAAGGATCAACTAACCTTGCAGTCTGATGGACAGTAACATCTTTGAGATGCGGAGCGTATTTGACACACACAGAGCTGAAGCTACCTACGCAGTTGAAATAGCTAAGGCTGGGTGCTTCGCTCAGTATATCAAGATAGGTGACATTGGCAGTGACACAAGCAATCATAGTAAAAGTTAAAAGCAATGGGCATCTGATGATGAAAGAAACCCGCTGAGCATTTGGGAATTTGATCCATTTAAGTTCAAGGCTAGTAAGCATATTGAATTCCTCGAACGAAATTTGGGAGGAAGTGAACGTGCAGGCGTACAGACGCAACTTCTTGAGCTGCCTGAATGAGAAGAGACAACGAGGAACCTTGTATTCATTGATCCAAATGAATAAGCTCTCAATACATTTCTCGTACAAGGAAAGCAAAATCTGATCAACATAAGCAGGAAAGGTACTCAGTTGAGGGATAGAAAGAGAGAACTCCCTCAAGGGTCCCCTATGGTGGCAGAGAACTGTGAACACATTCTACATTAGTTTCTCGATGGTAATAGGATAGACCCCATGGCCCATTACTACCTAGATACCAAGGAGCCACCCCAACTGGGTATGGGTTCCAGAACTGACCATCGAATACAAGCGATGGACTATTCACCCATTTGCGCCTCCAGCCAGTTGACAGGACACTAGTCTTGGCCGCTTCTCGTAATGGAAGAAAGGTCATGATGTGCTCAATCAGATTGTTTGGCAGAGAACTGATTCTATCGCCATCATCGCCACTTCCTTCTCTGCAAATGGTTTTATTCCTGGGACCAGGAACATCCTATGAACAACATAAGGCAAGGGAATAGTATCAAATAGAAGCAACACAGGAAATACCCACAACAGGGGGTAATGGAAACGAGAAAAAGCCTGAATTGCTAGGGTTTTAGCTAAATGCTTTCGAGTCATACGTCTCAAGCCGCGGACTTAGAATTGCCAAATCCCCAATACCTAACACAACCACTAGAGTTAGAAGAGTGCCTAATAAAGAATCAAGCTTTGAATCCTATGATGGGAGATTTCACGAACAAAGTTACTGCTGCAAGAGTTCCCCTCGTCTTTCCTCGACATGGGCCATTAGGGAAACTGATCGTGTTGGGTTCCGATGAGGAGGATTAGGATTCTGACGATAGAATGGTAAAGAAAACTAGAAGACCGACTCACCATCGTCGTCAAAGGCTCTCCGGTCAGATGTTGTTGCTTGCCGCTGCTCGCTGTGCCTGCTGAACTGTACGGTGATCGCCTGATCGGAGGCCTTCCGCTTAACTTTACAATGGAAATTTACGAACCTTTTGAATTGCGCGTAATAGCCGGTGTTTTATGGGCTAAATTGACTATTGGTTCCTAATTTTATAAGCTTCTCACGTTCGCCGCTGACATCTTTTTTCTATAACAAAACAGCTATTGGCTCTACGTATTTGATTAATCTTGTCCGTCCAATTTCATTAAATTTATTTGACCTAATGTTAACTCTCTAAGTTTGATTATTTTTTAGATAATATGTCAATTAGAATGAAAATTCTTATTTTTCACTAGATATACATGAAAGAAGTTATAAAGTCAATGAAAACCTTGCAATGTAGCCATGTTTTATGGATTTGAAATGAAGGATTCAAAATATAGGAAGTAGGTAAGATGCTAAACACAAAACTAGTAAGCTTTGACACAAGTATTTTATATTACACTATAAATAATAAGATTTTGTATTCGAGAAACCGTGATAAACTCGAATACATGGGCCAGTGAGGAACTGAGGAGGATAGTAATGCCTGAATGTCTTATCTGTCATCATGCTCCAAGTTCATGGTACCATTAGAATCCCACCAAGAAAGGATTCTAAGACGTTAATGTATTACTGTTCCTCAAATGAAGAATTTGACATATTAGAATGTTTTGCATATCCATGGAATACAATAAGTTTGATACTTATAATCAAATGTGTTTGATTTTCCTACCAAATTTGAGGAGAAAAAAATATGTGGTTGATTTGCCTACCAAATCTCAAAACCAAATGGTTTTAAAAAAAATCTCAAAACCAAATGCAACAAGCAAACGACATCTATGGTGGTTTTGCTATCTTGACATTGTATGTACAATATATCAAATATTTCATACTCCACACATCCAGCTCGAAAAATTTACCAATAAGATCTACATAAATCATGACATGTGTATGAGTTTTCGACTATGTTGCTTGTCATGTAGGGTTCATCCAACTGAACAACAACTTCATGTCTTTTTAATGTCAACACCAAAAAAAACATCTAACCTTGTTAGACCCACATAAACTCTTTTGGCTTCAATTGCTGAGCTATGTTTTGATTTTGAATTATAAGATGTAAATCATATATTAAACAAATATTTAATGGTGATAACAATAGACTATTAACCCTTCATCCATAAGTCTTAGATCACTTATAAGTAGTAACTTGTCATAGTATTATTACTCTAAATACCGAATTAAACTTGACATCTGATAATCGTTAATTATCGAAGACCAACAGAGGAAAAATAAAAAAACAATGTAAGAATTTTCCAAAAGCCAGACAAATAAATTTTGTCTAGAAAATTATGATTTTAGAATCTCGAATTTAAGAATCCACCACTTGTACGAAATATGAACAATACACATTCTTCTGAGATCCCAAAAATTGCCATGAACATGTTCTCTTTAGGAAAAGATATACAAAAAATTTTGTATTCTTCAATGGCTATTGAGTATTTTCAATTTTGCCGGGTCCGCCTTTTACCATTTTGTCGTCTACATCGTCACTCTGTTTCCACCCAACTCTGTTACTATAGTATAAAGTATAAACCCTACCAACCAGCAAACTCATCTCCTTCCTCCCTCCCTCTTCCATACACCCATTGGAAGAAGAAGGTACCAACGAAGGAAGGAAAAGATCGCCATTAATCCTCCAGCAATGAACTCCACGCTCGCCACTTCCTTCCTCCATCTCAAAGTACCTTCTTCTTCTTCTTCCTCCGCCCTCTCCTCCTTCAATTCAACATCCCAACTCCCCCCTCTTCTCAATTCCACCAGGCTCGCCCACCCACAACCTTCTTCCATTCCCACCATTACAGCATGTCTACCAAACCCACACCCACCCTTAATCATCCAGCGCCTCAAAACCCTCGCCAAAGCCGCCGTCTTGATCGCCGCCTCTGCTTCCGCCGCCGCCCATTTCTCCGTTCTCCACCCGGCCAAAGCCGAACCCCCTGCAGCAGCCGCAGCTACTCTGGCTGAAGAAACCCCGGCCACCATCGAAGAGGAAGAGCAACTTGATCCACAGAAGGATGAGGACTCTTCTTCCTCGTCTTCTTCCTCGTTCGCCTCTCCTTTGTCCGAGTTTCTCGTGGGCAACACCGAAGCCGTCGAGTCTCTGAAGTCCCTGCTGCAGCAGAAGCTCGAGGGCCGGGAAGACGAGGAGGCGCTCAAGATCCTGACCCGTCTCGTCGCCGCCCAGCCCGCGGCGGTGGAGTGGAAGTTCTTGATGGCGAGGTTGTACAACGAGATGGGTCAGTCCCAGAATGCCCGCAAGGTGTTCGAGGAAATTCTATCTGTGAACCCTCTGTCGTTCGAGGCTCTTTTCGAGAATGCGCTGCTCATGGACAAGAGTGGGGAAGGGGAGGCGGTGATCGCGAGGCTGGAGAATGCTCTGCAGATAGCGGAAGAGGAGAACAAGGTGAAGGAAGCTCGAGACGTGAAGCTGATAATGGCGCAGATACAGTTCCTGCAGAGGAACATAGAGGAGGCGATGAGGATATACCAGGAGCTGTCGAAGGAGGATCCCAAGGATTTCCGGCCGTATTTCTGCAGGAGAATGATTTACAGTCTGCTGGATAAGAACGAGGAGGCGAAGCAGCAGTTCCTAAAGTATCGAGAGCTCTCGCCGAAGAAGTTTGAGGTGGATGGATACCTGAGGACTCCATTGTCAAGAATGAAGGTTTTTGGGCCGAGTGATGAAAACTGAGCTCCTGTTACATGGGAGGAGAGGGCGGGAATAACTACGGAGAGATGAAACCAGATTTGGGTAGAGTTCGTTCCTCTTTTGCTGCTTTATAGTTTATCCTTGAAATATTTTTATACCTAATTTTGTGCAACACATTACAGACTGCAGATAATGTGTTTGAAAGTTATCTCAATCAGTTGCAGTTTTGAGGCAGCCATTGATCGATTGATGTAGAAAATCTCTCTTGAATTGTAGACTGACCATGTACCAACTTAACATAATGTGGTTGAGACTGCTTAGCAAATGCTTGTTTTCTCTATTTTTTTACCTTTCTCGTGGGCGATCTACATGTTCAGACACGGGATTCTAAATTCCAGAGAGCTCAACCTGAGATTCTCTTCTTCATTGATTTTGCCCACTTCTTTGAACTGTTGCTTGCTGGTGGGTGACATGAGCAGGATCATCAACATGAGATGTCTTCATGATGCGCATTTTGACCTTCCAAGTCCGTGGAAGGCTGACAATGTCGCTCTTCCACAATCTCGTTCTGAAACTCGCACCAGCCTCCAGAGCACAAAATGCATTGTAGCAACCAACATTGTGCGATAAACGAACAGCTTACCATGTGCCTGATGAAACCATGATTGTAATGATCTTAATTCGCGATCTTTGATATTACGATCTGAATGTGCTTTGGTTCTTAAAATTCGCGGCAATAGCATCGACAGAATTTCTGATGTGATTTTACAAACCCGATTCACAATTGTTGTGCAACGTTAAAACCTTCTTGAATTCCCTATCATTTGTGTTTGATAAAGCCAAGCATAGTTGATGAACCTAAGGCAGTTTTGCGTTCATTAAAAACAAATAGCAGTTTCATCAAAAAGCATACCTGCACCCTTACTTCCTGGCTTGCGTCCCTGGAGTTCCTTTCCGAGGAAACAAAATCAGACCGAAGTTCAAACTGGCAAGGGTTGCTCCAAACCTAATGCAAAGAAGGGAATCCATATGTTAAGAGAAGGAGCCATCTGGTTTCAGAAGGTTGAAACATGAACATTAAGTGTTTTACATTAGCCACAAACCAAATTCACAGTCACACTTTCTCATACTGCTCAAAATAGATACCTATGTTTTTGCACAGAAATGCTGAAAAATGGGCAATCGTTAATGTTGGCACTTGGCATCAACTAAGGGAAGAACACTTGAGTGAGAAACAAATATTATTCCTAAAAGAGAAAGCACACATAAGCATGGACGACATTAAAAGACATTTGTTGAATTAGATTTTGCCACCTGAATGAGTGGAGGAACTTGGTACTACAATGTAACAACATGGAGTAAGAGTACGAGTAAGACATAGCTAAAAGTAAAGGTCATACTCATATATTCTTTCTTCCTTGAAAACTTTGGCTTCTCCTCTTCTGATTTAGTGCAAACCGCCTTGCCATGGCAGGATTATAGAACTTCCTCATGTGCTCAGAGAGTTTGTGGATGGCTTTTAGATTACCAGTCACTGAAAGCTGCATGAGGAAGGAGTCAAACTGCCGATAAGGCAGCTTCATGCCCTTATCAACAATCTCTTCTACAAGACAACATGCATCCTCCATCTTATTGCTATGGAAGAGCCCATCAATCATCACACTATAGGTATCGACATCTCTATCGCACCCTCTTTTCTCCATTTCATCCCAAGTCTCACAAGCACCATGATAATCATCCATCTTAAAAAACATATAGATCAGCATGTTATACGTCTGCACACTAGGCAGACAATCAACCTCAAACATTTGCCCATACAGCCTGAGTGCTGCATCAGCTTCTTTGTTCTTGCAAAGCACATTTAGGAAACAGTTGTAAGTAACTATATCAGGAGGATAACCTTTGTCTCCCATCTCTTTCAAAAACCGGTATGCTTCATCCGTCTTGCCAGCTGTATACATTCCTTCAATCATTTCTGTGTATGTTGGGACGTCTGGAAGGCAACCACTCGCAGTCATATGCTCTATAAGTTTCGAGCACTCATCCATTCTATCATTCTGAACTAGAGCTACAATCATTATGGCATAAGTCTTTGCAGTAGGAGAAGACAGTGTCGAACCTTTGGTTCTCATGAACTCAAATAGACCAGCAGCCTCGTCCACCATGCCAGCTCTACAAAATGAATCGATAGCGGTATTATAAGTAAAGTTATCAGGTGGGAGACCGAGCTCGATCATTTCATCGAGAACCTTCATAGCTCTAGTCGGGTTCCTAACTCTGCACCACCCAAAGAACAAGATGTTATACGTATTGCTATCTGGCTTAATCTTACTCTTCAACTTTTTAAACAAAGCTTCAGCATCCTCAACGAGACAGCTCTTGCACAAAGCATCCAGAAGCAAGTTGAAAGCATTGATCTCTGGCTGAGTCTTCACCCGAATCCTCTTCTTCTTAGCAAATTTCTGAACATGGGTGAGATACTTCAGCGTGTAATCTCTCAAAATCTTCAACAGAACCTCCGTGGGAACATTCTTCCTGTTGCCCCTCTTCATGTAATCAAGCATATCACACACAATCCGAAACTGCTTCACTTTGTACTTGGTGCTCGACAAAATGTCCATCATTTCGTTGTAAGCACAAGCCTCGTGCGCATAATCTTCCTGCCGCCCTGCCCATGTGAAGAATCTGAAGGCCGTCTTTTCATCGTAACGAAGCCTGTGAAGAACCTCGAGGACTAAATCAGTAGTTAGTTGCATACCAAGCTGATCCAGTGCTTCCTCCATGTGAAGATTCTGCTTGGGCTGTAATGAATCGGAGGTTCCCACTATAGTTTCGCACAGTCTTTCGGTGTGGAGCTCGATAAGGTCAATACGCCTCCTCGTTGGACTAATGGTTTGCTCTGACACAACAGCCATTTGAGTACAATACAAACGCCAATCATTCCTGAAGGGAAATCTGGGCGCAATGAAACCAGCGGTTGGCGGAGTACGGGGAACTGAAGAAGAAATGCTTGCGGAGACGGGATTGGAACCGCAGAAAGTTTCAAGAGCTGATAAAGAGCAACGGAATCTTCGCATCATGAAATCCCTAGAATTGTTTTGGCGACGACGGGTTGGACATGGACGAATCTTACTGCTGGTTGAACACGAGCCCTACTTCCGAGTGATTAAAGAGATGCTAAGAAGTACAAATACCGGCCGGCGGAGGAAGGCTGGAACGGCGGGTGAAAGGTGGACTGGATACAGAGGAAGCTGAGAAGCGATGAGCGGGGATGCCAAACACTCTCTGCTTTCGAACTCTTGGCAACCCAAGTCTTTGAATATGTTTAATACTGATAGCGTACACTAACAACAATATCAGAGTGGCGCAGCGGAAGCGTGGTGGGCCCATAACCCACAGGTCCCTGGATCGAAACCAGGCTCTGATATATATTTTTTTTCGTTTCTGCTGTTTATTTCTCCTCAGTCTTTCAACCAATGCAACCAGCACCCTCTACTCCTTCAGAACTCCATCTTGCTTGCCTACTGCTGGGTTTTAACCACAATCCAAAGGTAACAATGGACATGAAGCATTGGTGGAAGTGCACCATTTCTGCTGTTTATTTCTGCTCAGTCTTTTAACCAACGATGCAACCAGCACCCTCTACTCCTTCAGAACTCCATCTTGCCTGCCTACTGCTGGGTTTTAACCACAATCCAAAGGTAACAATGGACATGAAGCATTGGTGGAAGTGCACCACAATCATTCTCAGATAGTGTCTCCATCAACTGCAGACGGCGAGACTTCTTCAAAAACGGAACAATCATCTTCAGCTTCTGGTTCACTGGTAGCAAAACCATAAGCCACAATGGAACATATTGTGGAAAACAATGACGAGTGAAGGCAAGCTCTAGTGGAAAGAAAGATGTTACTATATTAGCTGTTCAAGTTACCCATGAGCTATCACAGAAAGTAGTGACAGAAGCCTTAGATTAACACACTATTTACAAAGGGCACTTTTCAGCTTCATCTGGTTGATTCTCCACAGCACAAATGAAAGTAACACTATTAACTTTTCACAAATTTTGCTAACAAATGAGCGTGTAGCCAAAATTACAAACACCACCAGGTACCTGCTGCGATTAAGGCAGTAGCAGCAGTAGACAGTCTTTAAGTCAGTTTGGTCTTCTTGGATTTCTCTGCAACCTCATCCTCTGCTTCCTCCGAGCTTTCGTCTTCGTCGTCAACCAACTCATCAGGAACATCAGCAGGAACGTTATGCTTGGTGATGAATTCCTTCAGTATCCTCATGCTTTCTTCTTTCATGGCAACCAGTTCCTCGGAGATGGTAGCTCCTTCCCCTTTCGCAGCGGCTGCCACTGAATGCGTCTCGGAGCCAAGTCTGAATGTGGCTTTCACACAGATCCCATTTTCATTACCACCGTCAACCTCCATTCTCTCTCACAGATTCTGCAAAATCAGGCGGCACATTCATTCAGACATTAAAGAGTTAAACATTTTCTTCATCCCATCCACCAATGATTTGCACTTACACACCAAGAAAACGGAATCAAATCATTCAATTTATAAGGGAGAAATATTGGATATTCACATCTACTACTTTGTTTGTGTGGGCGAAATAAGGAGGAGATTTACCTCGGATGGGAAACGGCGGAGAGGTGAGGGTTTCTAAGGCGGGGCAAACGCGCCGGAAGGAGGTTGAATCGGCGGAGGATGGAGGCCAGGGAGAGCAGCAGCAGCGGCGGCGAGGCTAGGGTGTGCGGGAGGGGAGTAAGTTGAGGATGATGGTGGTGTTTTCGGAGGAAGGGTAAGGCCCTGCTTTACTGGAGATCGGGCTTTGGGCTCCTTTTGCTGAAGAGAAAATTGGGCTTTTATATTGGGCCTCTATCGAACAAAAAACTTTCGACCGTTGGGCTCTAGTGTGTATTACTGCGAAAGAGAAACGCTACGGGTAGGCCTAGTCTTCAGTCTTCACCCATCCCCATTCTACAGATCAAGAATCCTTATCCGACAAGGAAAAGGAAAAGGAAAACACAAAGAGAAAGGAAGAAAAGGTTATATAGCACAATGAAAGAGCCCATGCTCTACCCCTGGGTATATATTCTTCACGTATGACAGAAAATCAACACTGAAAAAACTTAGAAGCTTACTGGGTTAGTCGGGTCGGGTTTTGTTTTGTTTTTTTTCCGTTCTCAGGTAGCATTGTATTTAGGCATGCATGGGAGGGCTATGAAGCCGGTGTGCAAACCCAGTGCGGATAGGATCACCAACCTTCCTGCGGATGTGACACTGCGGATTCTCGAGCTCTTACCTGTCAAAGAGGCTGCGAAAATGGCCGCATTGTCAACGACGTGGAGGAGCCACTAGAGAAGTGTTCGTCGACTTGTGTTCGACAACGATTTCGCTAGTACTAAATCGAACTGTTAGTTTATTATAACTATTGTGTACCGATTTGTAAATATCCATTATTCTGTAGTTAGGGTTTGTAGAGCAAACCTATATATATGTTGCTGTATACTACGTTGAGAAGTAATAATAAACCGTAAAACCTGAGAGGGAGATCCTCTCCGTGGACTAGTGTCATACTGACGATACCACGTTAAAAAACTTTGGTGTTGTTTCTTTTCTGTTCTTAGATTATTTGACATGGTATCAGAGCCTGCGATCTGAGATCTCTTGATCGTATTTCGTGGGTTTTGTTTGTTGCTGCCGCTCACAGGTTACGACTTCTATTCCTCATTGGGGATTCAGTTCTTGTCTTCGGCTGCTTCGCTCTTGGCTAGGGTTTCGCTTGGTTCTTTGCTCTTGGTTGGCCTTTCTCCACGCAGCTGCTTGCCTTTAATCAATCAGGTCTTCCTCTCCTTTTATTATTGTGCCGCTCACCGCACTAGCTTCCAGCAAAGCTTTCTTCCTTTATTGTTTGTTCTAGCGCTGCTACTGTTCCTTTAGCTCATCAGGATGGACGGGTGTTCTGTCAAATTTGATGGCAAGAACTTCCCTTTGTGGGAGTTCCATTTTCGCCATTTTGTGGAAGGGAAAAAGCTTCTTCCTTTCTTGCTGGGTACCGTGGCTAAGCCTGCCGAGGGCTCCTCTGCGGCGGTGCTCACAGAATGGACTTCAGGCAATGCACAGGTGGTCACATGGCTCTTGTCTTGTATTGATGTTGCTACCGCACTCAGTCTCCGTCGTTTCACCACGGCAAGCGAGATGTGGAAGCATATTTGTTCTACGTATACTCAGAATGACTCAGCCCGCCAGTTTCAGCTGGAAACTGAAATAGCTCAGTTCAAACAGGGGGACATGGATATTCGCACCTACTATCAGGACTTGTCTAGTTTATGGGTTGAGTATGATATGTTATCGGCTTCATTATTATCTTCAGCAGCTTCGGCAGAGGTTCTTCAGGAACGCTCTAGGTCCCGTCTTATGCAATTTCTCATGAAATTGCGTCCTGAGTTTGAAGCCATCAGGGCTTCTCTGCTACATCGTCGCGTGGCAACTATAGATGAAGCTCTTAGCGAGCTTATTCGGGAAGAGACGCGACTGCGGAGTCAATCACAGCTCGATCAGCCTGGTTCAGGAGATGTGGTTTTTGCTGTGGGTAGAGGGAGTTCAGGCAAACCTCAATTTCAGCAAAGTGACACCAGTCACCTGACCTGTCACTTTTGTCAGGAGGTTGGTCATATTCAACCACATTGTAAGCGCCGCAATATCTGTATTTATTGCAAGCGCTCGGGTCATATTATTCTTGAATGCAAGTCACTGGCCCGTCGAGAGAAAGCTGGTGCTTCTTCGTCTGGTAGTTCTCGTGCTCCGACCAAGGGTCGTGGTTCAGCTGGTCAGAGTTATGCGGTGGAACGTGCTTCGCTTGGATCTTCTGCTGGCTCGTCACGTGGCGCGCCTAGTCCAGCTCTCACTGCTGATGTTCTGCGCCAACTTGTTGCCGAGGTGCTGCAGGAGAAACTTCCCGGTGCGCTGACATCGGCCTTCGCTACAGGTAGTTCGTCACGTCCCTCTCGTTGGTTAATTGACTCTGCCGCTTTTAACCATATGACCCATGACCGCTCTCGCTTCTCTTTCTTAAAGTCGAGTTCTGTATCGTCTTTGCAAGTCGCCAATGGGGCTCGATTGCCAGTTCAGGGCGTTGGTACTGTTACTACCGGTTTTGTGACTTTACCAAACACTCTCTATGTACCTCAGCTCGTTCCTAGTTTGGTGTCTGTTGGCCAATTGACCGAGGCTGGTTGTGAGGTTAAGTTTAACAGTACCGGCTGTGTTGTGCAGGATCCGAAAACAGGGAGGGTGATCGGGAAGGGTAAGAAGGATGGCAGGGTGTTTGTGCTTGATGACTGTCGGTTGGAGCTAGTGGAGCAGAAGATGCCACAGCCCTCAGGAGTGCACTCGGCCAGTAGTTGTTTGCCACATAGTTTAGTCAATAAATCTGTTTCCAGTGAGGATACAGTTGGTGATTCGGTTGATGATTTGGATTTAGTTTTTGCTGTAAAGCTGCATGGCTCTTTGAATTTTTCGAAGAAGACAAATGACTGGGATTTGTGGCATTGTCGCCTGGGTCACCCTCACAAGGCTAGACTCTTGGATATGTTTCGTGATAATTTATTACCAGGAAAATTGGATTCTCATTTGGCTTCATCTTCTTGTATCAGTTGTATAGAGGCCAAAACCTCACAGTCATCTTTTTCTCCCAGCGAAACGGTTTATGAGGAACCATTCGATCTTGTTCATACGGACCTATGGGGTCCTTCTCCTGTGCTTTCTCACATGGGGTATCGTTACTTCGCCCTCTTTATCGACCATGCTACTCGATTCACCTGGATTTATTTTCTTCGACGTAAGTCGGAATTGATTACTCATGCTCAGCACTTTGTTCAGATGGTTTTGACGCAGTTTGGTAAAAGGGTGAAGATCATTCGTTCCGATCCTGGTGGCGAGTTCAGTTCGCACCCTCTGTTAGAGTTTTATTCTTCTCATGGTATTCTGCCTCAGCAGTCTTGCCCCGGTGTTTCCCAACAGAATGGCCTGGTTGAAAGGAAGCATCGACATGTGTTAGAGCTTACTCGTGCTTTGCTCTTCCATTCTCGTATCCCGCGTGGTTTTTGGGTCGAAGCTGTAAGCACCGTGGTTTACTTAATCAATCGACAGATCACACCAGTTCTTGAACAACAGTCCCCGTTTCAGCGTCTCTACTCGAAGCTTCCTGATTATTCTCGGCTCCGGGTATTCGGTTGTCTATGCTTTGTCCTGCTGCCCAAGAAAGCACGTGATAAACTGTCTCCCAAGACTGCTCGTTGTGTGTTTGTTGGCTATAGTAGCCAACATAAGGGTTATTTATGTTATGATCCGGTTGCTCATCGTATGCATATCTCCTGTCATGTGATTTTTCTGGAGCAGGTCATGTATTATCCTACCTCGACACACCGCGAATCCACGGACATGGATTTTCTTCGACCATTGTCGCGCTTTGATGATGGACCCGTGACTCCGAGTACTAATTTCCAGGGAGGGAATAATGATGATGGAAATCAGTCCCTCTCGCTGGCGGGAACAGACGCTCCCTTACTCAGTAGTGGATCCAATAATTCCACAGGAAATGATGGTGGAAGTGGAAGTCCGCCCAACTCGCCACAAATGGGAAGTTCCACCTTTAATTCTTCTCCTCCACGTGCTAGCATGCTGCATGGGAATTCCTCAATTCATGAGTCAACGTCAGCTACGTCGCCTGCGACGTCAGTGTCTTCAGCAAGTTCCTCGTCCGCTGGAAGCTTGGTATCACCTCTGCCATTGCCCGAGCCACGTAGATCCTTGAGAGTAAACATAGGGCAGCCACCAAAGAGATTGGAAGATTATGTAGGATATTCGACTGAACCTATTCCGATTCCGAGCCATTACATGTTTGCTAAAGGCCATATCATTTGGGAATCGGCAATGAAAGAGGAGTTGCGAGCTCTTGAGGAAAATCAGACATGGGAGTTGGTCCCACGGATTCCTGGGATGTCAGTTATTGGATGTCGTTGGGTTTACACAGTCAAAATGAAGCCAGATGGATCGTTGGAACGGTATAAGGCAAGATTGGTTGCTCAGGGATTTAGACAAGAGTATGGGATAGACTATGATGAGACATTTGCACCCGTTGCGAAGATGCAAACAGTTCGGAGTGTTCTTGCTGTGGCGGCAATGGAGAAGTGGAATATTGTTCAGTTTGATGTGAAGAACGCCTTTCTACATGGAGATCTGAAAGAGACTATTTACATGGAGTGTCCAGATGGGTATGATAAGGGTGCACCAGGCATGGTATGTAAATTGAAGCGGTCACTGTATGGTTTGAAGCAGGCACCTAGAGCATGGTTTGATAAGTTCCATAGCACTATTCTGCAGTTTGGCTTTGTACAAAGTCAAAATGATCCGTCGATGTTTACACGTCAAACGGTTAATGGGAATACAGTTTTGCTTTTGTATGTTGATGATATGATTGTCACTGGCAGCGATACATCAGGAATTCAAGAGTTAACTCAGTCTCTACGGGATTCTTTTAATCTAAAGGAGTTGGGAGAGGCATCTTATTTCTTAGGATTGGAGATTAATCGAACTGAGTCGGGGCTCTTGTTAAGCCAACGAAAATATATCAATGATCTACTTGAGGCAGCACAGTATACCGATTGCAGACTGTGTTCGACACCAATGGAGCAGAATTTGAAGCTGAGTCGAGATAGTGGGGATCTGCTAGAAGATCAAACTTTCTATAGAAGTGTAGTAGGAAGTTTGATTTATCTTACTCATACCAGGCCGGATATTGCATATGCAGTTCAGGTAATTAGTCAGTTTACTGGAGCAGCACGCACTACACACTTGGATGCAGTGCATCATCTTTTACGGTACTTGAAACAGACCAAGGATGTCGGAATCTTTTTCCCGGCAGATGGAGAACCTGAGATAGAGGCCTTTGCTGATGCTGATTACGCAGGTTGTTTGGATACTAGACGTTCAACGTCAGGTTGGTGTGTGAGATTTGGGAGATCCTTTATTTCGTGGAGATGCAGGAAACAAGACAAAGTATCAAAATCTTCTACTGAAGCAGAGTACAGGTCAATGTCAGAAGTTAGCTCAGAAATGGTCTGGCTTCAGCGGTTGATTCAAGAATTGGGAGTTTACTGCAGACTTCCTATGCGGATTTATGGTGATAACACTAGTGCTATTCAGATTGCTGTAAATCCGGTTCTACATGATAGAACGAAGCATATAGAAGTGCATGTTCATTACATCAGACAGCTCGTGGCAGAGGGAGTTGTGCAGCTTAGCTATTTATCTACTGATGATCAGACAGCAGATGTGTTGACAAAAGCAGTAGGGTC